TACCACCACTACTACTACGACTACTACTACTACTACTACTACTACTACTACGACGACGACGACGACTACCACTACTACGACTACTACTACTACTACTACTACTACTACTAATACGACCACTATCACTACCACTACCACTACCACTACCACTATCACTACCACTACCACTACCACTACCACTACCACTACCACTACCACTACCACTACCACTACCACTACCACTACTACGACTGCTACCACTACTACGACTGCTACCACTACTACTACTACTACTACTACTACCACTACTACGTCTCCTCCTCCTCCACCTCCTCCTCCTCCTCCTCCTCCCCCCCCCCCTCCTCATATTCCTCCTGCTCCTACTCATCTTCCTGCTGTTCCTCCTTCTCCCCCTCCTCCTCCTCCTCATCCTCATCCTCCTCCTCTTCCTCCTCCTCCTCGTCGTCCTCCCCTTCCTCCTCCTCCCCCTCCTCCTCCTCCTGCGACGACGACGACGACGACGACGACGACGACGACGAGGACGAGGACGAGGACGACGACGACGACGATGGCCTCCTCCATACATGTAGCTTATCCGCCACTGTGCCCCCTGGCACGTTGAGGGGCGTGCTAGAATGCCAGGTGCTGCCTGGCAGGGTGTCCGTAAGCTTCTGCTGACCGCCCCCCCCGCTCGTCGCAGCCCTCTGCGCGCACCGCCCCCCCCCCTTCCGAAGCCCTCTGTCGGCACCCAGACACCTCCCTGGCGCTGTCGGGATGCACCCACATGCGTGCACCACATCCTCATCCTCCTCATCCTCCTCCTCCTCCTCCTCCTCCTCCTCCTCCTCCTCCTCCTCTGCATCCTCCTCCTCCTCCTCCTCCTCCTCCTCCTCCTCCTCCTCCTCCTCCTCCTCCTCCTCCTCCTGGCCCACCCCCTCCTCCCGAGGCGGCCACAACCCTTCGCAAAAAAAAACGGATTCGCGCTCCCGAGGCCCAGATGACTCCAAGGTGGCCGAATATCGCTCCAAGACGGGCCACTTTGGCCTCAAGACGGCCCAGGATGACGTCAAGACGGCCCACGAGGCCGTCGAGGCGTCCCAGGGCCCCAAAAGCCTCCCCCAAAGAGCCCCAAGAGGCGAAAATCTGTAAGTGTCCTTAGATGTGTTAATGTGTTTCGGGTTCTCGCCTTTTCGAAATTCCAGTGCCCCAAAAGGACCCAAGAGGCCAGCAGCACTGCCCCAAGCCGGCCCAAGACGCCCCCAAGAGGGCCCCAAGACGGCCCAAGAGAGCGCCAAGACAGCTCAAGAGGCGCCCAAAAATGCCCAAGAGGACCCCAAGACGGCCCCAACAAAGGCCCAAGAGGGTGAACACGAACCGACAATCCAAGCCTTGCGCCCCAAGAAGGCCCAGGAGGCCCCAACAGGGCCAAAAGAGGCCCCCAAAAGGTCTCCGAGAGGACCCCGAGAAGCAAAAACCAATTGATTCGCCACAGCTTGTTCAATAGTTGTGGGGGTCTCGCCTTTTCGAGCTTCCGATGCTCCAAGACGGCCCAAGAGGCCCCCAAGACTCCCCCGAGACGGCTCAAGAGGCCCCTGAGAGAGCTCCAACCCAAGAGGGCCCCAGACTCTCGCCTGAGCGCGGCGCAGATTCGGTTCAAAAGCTGAAAGCAGCTTCAAGGACTCTCAGAGCTAAAGTCCCGGCAGTATGGTTTCCTGGCACGACTTAGGATTGCCGGGACACGACAGTCACGTTGCTTCGCGGTGTTCAAGCCCCAGGAATAGCATTCTGCATGATTCGAGGCGTTCCAGTCCCAGGAATGGTGTTTCGGCACGATGGATGATGGAAGATTATGATATCACGGCTGTCTTGCAACGAAGCACATTCCACAATGAAAATCATACACCCTTGTAGGCGCATACAGCAGAGAACTTGCAGGAAGGGTTGATTATGTTGATGCGCCGTGGGTTTACACTTAAACTGGTCCTCCTCCTCGTCCTCCTCCACGTCCTCCTACGTTTCCTACTTCTCCACAACATTTCCATGTAAACAACTCATCCCTGTCGCAACTCCAGACGTGTCAATAGGTTGGGCGCGGCGTTTCGCATGAGACTTCCTCACCATGTGGGCCTCCGACGCCTGAAATGTGCAACCGCTTCTTCAAGGATGGAGAACGGCCCGTTCTCAAAATGTGGTTCTGGCCTTAGCGCTGCGCACGTTCGGTTGAAAAGTTCGCAGTTACGCCAAGGATGAAGGGCGGTGCCTTTTCAAAGTGCTATTATCGCCTGAGCGCCGCACCACATTTCTCCTCAAAGGTGACAACACTGTGACAACACTTTCAAGGATTCGTGTGGCGGACGTTCCAGGAGCGATGTTGGGCATGCTCTAAAATTACCAGGACGCACCAGTCACGTTAACCCGCGGTGTTGAAATCCTAGACTGCTTGGGCACGATTAGGGAATTCCAAACCGTTGTCGTTCGAAAGGGCGCTTCCCACAATGAGAACAATGCATTCTAGTAGAAACCTATGAAAAGAAAACTTGGGGGAAGGGTTTTACATATTGCAGCATCACTGATGCGCGTGAGGGCTAACCTGATCCTCCTCCTCCTCCTTCTCATGTCCCTCCTCCTCCTCCACCTCATCCTCCATCCCTGATCCATATCAATAACTGCTGCCTGTCGCGCCCCCAGACGTGCGGACCGGACGTCTCGCGCGAGGCGACCTCACCATGCAGGACCCCGGAGCTTGAGATCCGCAACAGCTTCAGAGCTGGGGGCGGCCCGTTCTCAAAACGTGACTCTCCGTACCTCCGCGAGCATTCGCCGTAAAAGATTGCTACCGCTTCAGCGATGGAGGGCGATGCCTTTTTCTAGATACGGTTCTCGCCTGAGCGCCGCGCACATCTGCTTTAAAAACTGACCATGATTCTGAAGATGCTCATGGCTGACGTTACAACAAGACCCTTTTGGTATGATCTGATATTGTCAGGACGCAGCAATCACGCTGACCCACGGTGTTGAAGTCCAAGACAAGGCATTATGGCACGATTCTGGACTGTCCCGGCGCAGCAGTCATGTTGACTCGCGGAGTTGAAATCCCAGGACTGGTGCTTTGGCACGATTGAGCATTATCAGAAGGTTGTCGTTGCATGAGCACTTCCCGCAATGAAAATAAAGAATCTTATAGGCACCTATGGAAAGGAAATTAGGAGGGAAGGTTTAATGCGCCATCGTTGATGCGTCTTGGGTTTACACTGATCCTCATCCTCCTCCTCCTCCTCCTCCTCCTCCTCCTCCTCCTCCTCTCCTCCTCCTCCTCCTCCTCCTCCTCCTCCTTCTCCTCCTTCCTCCTCCTCTCCTCCTCCACACCTCCGACGACGACGACGACGACGAACGAGGACGACGACGACGACGACGACGACGACGACGACGACGACGACGACCGTAGCCGAGGAGGGCGCCCACATGCCCAGGTCGCTCACCCCGCGGCAGAGCCGGAGCCTGGCGCGCCTGCCGGGGATGCTGCCGCCCCACACGGCGTGGACGGCGGCGATGCAGTCCTCGCGGGGGCCGACGCGGCCCCCGACGAGCGCGCCGAGCGGCCCATGCGTCCTCCTCCTCGTCCTTCCTCGCCTCCCTCCTCCTCCTTCTTCTCCTCCTCCTCCTCCTCCACCTCCTCCTCGTCCTCCTCCTCCTTCTTCTCCTCCTCCTCCTCCCCCTCCTCCTCGTCCTCCTCATCCTTCTTCTCCTCCTCCTCGCCCTCCTCCTCCCGAGTCTCGCCCTCGTCCTCGTCCTCCTCCTCATCCTCCTCCTCATCTTCCTCCTCGTCCTCCCCCTCTCCCTCCCTCCCATCCTCCCTCCGAGGCAGGCGAAACAAAAAAACATTGGCGCGCCATCCGCAGAAGGCACCTGCACACCGCCACCGCCAAAGGCCGTGCCCTCCTTGGCATGAGAATACATCGGGAGTCGCCGAACGCCGGCAGATGTGTCGGGTGTCGGGCGCCGCGGCCGTTTCAGAGCGCCTCGGAACGCTTTCAGAGCGGACTGGAGGAGGAGGAGGAGGAGGAGGAGGAGGAGGAGGAAGAGGAGGAGGAGGAGGAGGACGAGGAGGAGGAGGAGGACCGCTCTGGAGCGAGTTCTCCCTTCATCCCACGCATGCCTGGACAGCCCGGGCCGTCGACTGCGAGGGGACGCCGTTTCCAGCGAGAGCACCTGCAGACCTGCACACCATCAGCATGCCTGGCCAGGGCCATCCTGGGCCCTGGCGAGGTGTGCACGCCCTCCCAGCCGAGGCCAGGAGGGCCTTCTGCACCCTCAAAGGCCTCCCAGATGGGTCCCCGAGCAGATGGGGTCGGAGGATCGGGCGGCATCGCCAATGCATCGCTGGTGCATCGGCGTTGCATCGGCGATGCCTCGCCGAAGTCATGCCTCGGCGCCGTGGGCGTGGAGAAAGTCTGGCTCCACCTCGAGCGCACCGTCGATGCCTCGGCGAAGCGAAGCGATCCTTCGACCGACCTGCTCGGACCGCAGGCGGGAGGTCCAGGGCCCTCCCGGGGCCCAGGAGGGCCCCGAGCCAGGCGCGGTGGTGACGCGCGGGTGCCCTCTGCGGACGCCATCGGCTGAGCGCACGCCCGCCGCCTGCCTGCCCAGGGAGGCCCCTGGAGCAAGGCGCGCGGGGAGCGCAGGGGGACGCCCGCAGGGGGCTGCGTTCTCTTGTGGTCTGGGTCTCCGCCGGGGCTGCTGCTGGCTGCTCCCAGAAAACTGGGTCTGGCCACGTGGAGGAGATACTTCAGGATCCGACATCACCTCCCACCATCCCGCTGCAACTGCTCACCCTTCTGGTACGCGCTGATCCCTGCGTTGTCGTGCAGGTGGCGTTCGGCTCCGAATCCGCCCCATACATTTTCATGAGCAGCCCCGGAGCCTGTTGCCATTGCCAGCCCTCCGCGCAAGCGTTCTTTCCAGCGCTGTGGCCGATGACATGATGTTCCGTGCTACCCTTCGACGTATGGCTGTAGCAAGGAACCCACTGCCACTGCTCACCCCACGAGCGCCGCTCCATCGCTGTAGCGGATGACGTCGGACTCCACTGCAACCCCCCGCATCTCGCGAAGCAGCCTCACACTGGACTCCGACTTCACCTCACGCGTCTCATGGCGCAGCGCCAGAGCTCGGTACCACACCTCGCCTTTCTCGCAAGCGCTGATCCCAGCCTGCAGCTGATACCAATGCGCGCCAACTGACCACGTGGCAAAAACAAACAGCAGGACCACATGCGCGCTAGCAGACATGTCGGCCTAACTCCATCGCATTAATGATGCCAGAGCTGACATCTGGGGAAAATCGCGAAGGTTTCAGCACTGCTCGGGCCCCAGAGAGGCCGAGACCCTCCCGTTCCCGGCATGCGTCCCTCCGAACGCCGCCGACTTCGAGTACTCCCATGGAATCAACAAAGAAAGCAATGTGGGAACACTGTGAACCCACAAACTAGATCCGCTGGCCGAACAAGATGCGCTGACTACTGTCGGCTTTCCAACTCCCTGCAAAAATTGGCCACAGCCACTGTCGCTGTCGCCGTCGCCCGGGCCGGTGGCCCTAACGAGGGGGTGACGGCGGCAGTGGCAGTGCCGAAACGCGCCCACAGTGCAGCAAGACATGAGGGTGTACACCCGACTTGTCTGGCTGATGCTCTGTAGGGGCCTATGTTCAGGGGAGGCTGCAGCACCGCTCAACGATGTGCTGTCAACCAAGCCTGCAGGGTGGACCCTTCCCATTGAAGGCCACCGCTGTCGCTGTCGCCGTCATCTGAGTCGGTAGCCCTGACGAGAGGGTGACGGCGGCAGTGGCAGTGCCGAAACGCGCCCACAGTCCAGCAAGGGATGAGGGTGCAAACCCGACTTGTCTGGCCGATGCTCTGGGGGGGCCTGTGTTCAGGGGAGGCTGCAGCACCACTCAGCGATGTGTTGTCAACCAAACCTGCAGGGTGGGCTCCTTCCATTTCTCTGGGCACTTCAGCTTTGGTTTCGGCTTCAGATACCGATGCACCGCGAAGCGCCTTCGGACCAGCTCACCCGCGTCGGATTTTCCGTTCGCACGGGTGCTCCCCCCCTCTGCAACAGTTCCATAGCCCAAGCTCTACTTGATATGCTATATGGTCTAGTTCCACTGTCGTGGTGATTGACGACCGCGCGAGGGGGGGAGGCCGAAAAGCGACCGATCCCCCTCTGGGACACGTAAAGGTGCAGCAGATTCGCGCTCCCGACGCCATAACCCGTAGTAACATTGCCCCTGACTCGCGCCTCCGAGGCAACGCCAGGTTCGCGCCCCCTACGTCATAACCCCGACCAAATCGTCATAACCCCGACCTCACAGCTAGCGCACCCGAGGTCACACACCCCTGTAAGTTACGCCAGCCCGTGCTCCCCGAGCCACAGTCCCTGGTAAAGTACTCCAGCTGCGCGCTCCCGAGACCACAATCCCTCGCACCCTACGGCACGTCCCCGAAAGCCACGATTCCTAGTAAGTTGCAACGCCCAGGTGCTCCCGAAACTACGACCTCTTGAAGAGTACACCGTACTCGCGCTCCCCGAGCAACCATTCCCTGCACGTTGCACGAGGCAGGCGCTCCCGAAGACCAGTCCCTCCCAAAGCACCACGTGCTGGCAGACACCCCCCCTCCCCGAGGCCCCGAAGCCGCTCGGCGGAGGTCACCCCAAAGAAGCGCCTGCGGAGGCCGCCCAAAGGCGGCCACCTTTCTCCAGAGCATAGGAAACGTCAAAACAAACAAACAACAAACAAACAAACAAACAAACAAACAAACAAACAAACAAACAACAACAACAAAACATCTCCTGCATTGGGGTGCAGTGGAGGCCCATGCCAAGAAACGCCCCGCTTGCCGCCAGGGTGCCCTGGGTCTCTGAGGTTTCGACGGCTTTGCGATGGAAAGCGTGACGCTCCCACACCAAAAATCGAGGGACGTCCTGGGGTCTCGGGGTTGGGTCTCTTATGGGAAGTTTCTTGTGGTCGGGCCCCTACTGTATGTTGTCGGGAGGAGTGTCTCGCCCCCCCCCCCCCGCCCCGCTTCCTGAGCACTCGGATCTTCGAAGCTCGAGGCCACAAATCCTCGTAAATAGCTAGAGGCGCGCTCGCTCCCGAAGCCTCGAACCGTCGGAAATGATCATGGAAGCGCGCTGCCCAGGCAACCATCCCTCCTGAACTATTACAGACGTGCGCTTCCAGCCAGCAAGCAAGCAGCCAAAATCAAGTGCAGTTGGCCCACTTAGACAGCAAGCCAATCAGCAGAGTTGCCAGTTACCCTACCGACGAAAAGACCAACCAACCTACCAACCAAGCGTGGCCAAGCAAGCAATTCTGAGGGGGGGCGGCGGCACAAGGCGAAGCCCTTCAGATACAAAATGTACGCAAATGACGCACATATCAACGCAACGCACACATGTGCACCACTGCCGCATAGTATCAGCAAGTAGAAAATCTGCATCCTGTCACTGTCGAATGCGCACAAGAGTAGTAGCAGTCGTACCACAGTGCCGCACCATGATTGTTGCGCAAGCAAGCAACCATCGTTTTGACCAGGCAGGTAAGGTAGGACAGGCCCGCGAAATGCAGAGAGGCATGTGTGAGACGATCTTGTGCACTGCAATCACGATGACTCGAGATGGCGACGACGGCGGTGACGAACACGACGACTGACTCTGCATTTTCCCTGGGAGGGGCGCCAAAAAGCTGCGCAAAGCTCCCTCCCTTCCTCTTGTCATCCCTCCCTCCTCCCCTCCCTCCCTCACCCCCTGCTCCCCTCCCGCAGCATCACCACTCGCCCCGCCTTCCCTCTCCTCCTCCGCCGACACCACTTGTCCGCGACGTGGGCCCCGAGGACCTCCACCTCTTCCTGGGGACCGGCCCTTCCTCCCGAGCTGCTGCTTGACGGCCCGCGGGTGGGACGCGGCCCCCCAGCGGCCGCAGACATCCCTCCCGACCCTCCCTGCGACGCCCGGGTGTCTGCGGGCGCCCTCTCCCGCCGCCTCCCTCGCCCCGGCCCCCTCGCGGAGCTCCTGGGGGTCGAGGCAGACTGCCGGCCAGACCACCCGCAGGCAGACTCTCGGCTGCCCCAGGTCTCTTCTCACCTGCTCCGCAAGGGGGGGGGGGGGGCCCGCGCGCGCCGCAGCCTCGGGAGCCGCCGCCTGGACAGGCCGGGCTCGACCATGTGCGGTGACTCGACCTGGTGCCCAGTGCGGTGGTGGTCTCCTCATCCTCCTCCTCCTCCTCCTCCTCCTCCTCCTCCTCCTCCTCCTCCTCCTCCTACTCCTCCTCCTTTCTTCTCACCCTTCTCTTACTTTCTCCTCCTCCTCCTCCTCCTCCTCCTCCTGCTCCTCCAACTTCCTCCCAGCCTTGTGGTGGTGGTGCCCAGCCTTCCTCCAGCCCTCCTCCCCTTCTCCTCCTTGTGGTGGTGTTGCTGCTGCTCCTGTTCAAGCTCCTGACTGCTGCCCGCCTGCGCAGCCACGGGCCACACTCTTTTGCGTCGGCGGCCGGGCAGAGTCACTGCCGACGGCGCTGGCGAAAGCGGCAGTCCACAGGCCACACAAGCAGGCCAGGCAAGACTTCGCAACATGGGAAGAGGCCGCTCACCCCGCTCACCACCATTTGGGATTACATGGTCGTTAGCCAGGGACTCGCTGCAATTCTCATCTGCCCGAACAATCTTCATCGCCAAGACGATCCAGCACCCGCCGTTAGCCGAACGGATTAGTCTCTAAATAAGCCGAGCGCAGCTTTCAAGCACTGTTGCACAGAGCCTTCTCCATCGGTTCTGGCCAGCGTGCCACTTCAACGCATGATTGCGAATCATTGATGAGTGGTGGCTGCCGAAGTGTATGGATCTGCTTGGTTTCGCAAGGCCAGTGGTAGCCTGTAGATGACAGGATCGAGGTACAGCGACAGAGCACAATGGATGGTGGATAGTCGGCGCTCGACGATGATATTTGAAAGCCGGTTGCAAAAGATATGATCTCCTCCGACGTCACATGTTTCCCCTGACGTGGGCCCCTGGGATCTCGACGCCCTGGGGCCTGTTTTGCATCCCGAGTCGTTTTCTGACGGCTCAGTGGCTGGAAGATGGCCCCCGGAGGCCGACAACGCCGAAGAAACGACCGTCGCAATGTTTGTTGTGCGACGCCCGGATCTGAGGGCACGCTGATGGGGCAAAGATGGCTGCCACCTATTGATAATCGATCGCTCGAGGCTGCTGCTCAGCTATTGACCGGCACGGCCAGCACCCGACAGGCTGGCATCCAATGCCTGGTGCCCAGGGCCGAGGTCACAGGTGCACGCCCCCCTCCGCCTCCTCCTCCTCCTCCTGCTCCTCCTCCTCCTCCTTCTCCTCCTCCCCTTGCTCCATTCCGCCTCACCTTCCACCTCCTCCACCTCCTCCTCCTCCACCTCCTCCTCCTCCTCCATCTCCTCCTCCTCCTTCCCCACCACGTCCTTCTCCTCTTCCTAAAAGGGCCGAGCGGTGCAAAAACATCTTGCCTCATTTGCCTGGGCCAGGCACATCACGTGAACGCAGCGTCCTGGCACACCCCAGTCTGGAGAGAGATAACGGTGGCTTCATAAGCTCGGTCCCTGGATTAGCTTTCGCGGGCTGGGAGGCATTGTAGAACACCAGCAACTTGCAGGATCTACTGCAAACACTACCAGGTCTTATCCCAGACTGTGATCGCACACAGGGTTAGCAAGCAAGGGGAGGGGGATGAGGAGAGGAACGGAGAGGGGGAGGGGGGGCATCAAGGACTGCAATTGCATCCAGATTAAGCGAGGGGGAAGTGGATGAGGGAAGAAGTGGGAGGGGGATCGGGGAACGGGGACAGGGGGGGGAAGGGGGAGGGGGGAAGGCGGAGGAGAGGGAGGGAAGGGGAGGATGGGTTAGAACTCCTCCCCCATTGGAAGGATGTCCGCCCGTGCCTACACCGAATTGAGAAAATCTCCTCTGGAATGGGCCAAGCACAGCGCTAAGGAAAGACCCTGCGTTGTCAAAAGCTAGGCCTGGGTCACATGCCCACCGTGAGCTGCTCGGAAATAGTCAAGCGCGTACCAAGTTAAGCTCTACACGTTGCCGTGAAGCTACATACAGGGCAACAGTGCTTCGCATCGGAGCAAGAGCTGGACCAGTCAACTGTGATTTGAACCCGTCGTCACCTGCTCTCTCCTGGCCAAAGCTGGGAGCGTACTGACGAGCGGCAGGTACCACGCGGGGGTGGACACGAAAGCGTAGCGGCCGCTCGCTTGGAGGAGGTACGCGAGGCACTGGTGCAGCATCGCGTACTTCTCGGCACGCTGCCTGCTGGGCATATCACCGAACAAAGGCACCCCTCCCTAGGCGTGCTTGCGAGGAGCATCCACCTCCTCCTCCTCATCCTCCTCCTCGCAAGCATCCAGATCTGATCAGAACGGACTTCGACCAATCCAGCTGGTCGGCAAAAGGCATACGCGTCCTCTCCGCCACCACCACGGATACCATCACCGCGGTCACCCCCCCGACCAATCACCTACGACTATGAGCGCGACGGCTCACGACAACGGCCGGGAGACATCACCACCACCCATACCACAACCCCCGCCACAATGACGAGCAGCGCCAAAACCCCAACCACATGACCGATACCTAACCAAAATGTACACAGCGCCAGATGCAATTCAGTCATGAGGTAGCCCCTAGAACATGCTAACTGACTCGTGCGAAACTGATACGAAGGGACGTGGAGGAAGGCCACAGACGCCTGGTGGCCGTCCCCAT